GGGGGGTCCTGAGGGGTGTCCTGAGGGAGGAGCCCTGAGGGGTGTCCTGAGGGAGGAGCCCTGAGGGGTGTCCTGAGGGAGGAGCCCTGAGGGGTCTCCTGAGGGGGCGTGAGGGGGAGGTCTGACAGGGAGGCCTGCTTTGCCTTGTGATGTGAGACTGTGCAGGTTGTACCTGGGGCCAGCGGCTGTCCCACCCAGGACAGGTGGTTCCCAAGCAGGAAGCAGGTGAATTCTCACTGGTGTATACTGGGGGCCCGAGAAGAAAACATGAGGGTGCTGCCCTGGACAGGCTGGGACTTGGTGGACCAGATGTGTGCATTAGATTATAAAACAATCCAGTAGGCCTGACAGACTAATGGCAGTGGCCACTACTAGGGTTACTCACTCCCTGGAATCCTGAGCGAGGGAATTCATGATTCATATTTTGCATCAATTCTAATGAGCCACCTCAGCACAAATGAATACACGTTTAGGATTTAGGATTTACACACAACAAGCACAACAAGACCTGTTCCAGGTCTCTCTGCAGAATTGATAGAGGGTTCCAGTCAAGCCCCCCATGGGTTCAGGATTGCAGGTGACTTCACGCAGAGTACACAAACAGCCAGCTGGCTGGTCTGGGGAAACAGGCCCACATTCCTGAGGGGCTTGGCGGCTCTGGCCAGAAAGGTGCAGGGAGGGATGAGGAGTCAAACAATTTGTGAATTCATGGGAGAGGCAGATCACGTTACAAAGTCAACAGAACCCAGGCCGAGCAGGGGCTCACAGAACAGGAGACCCCGCTGGCCCTGCTGGAAAAGAGCAGACAAGTGAGCCTGACTTTAGGGGAGCAGCTGACGTTTAGGGTCTCCTTTGTCACTAGATTGGAAACTGAGTCTCCTCATACTCACAGATGGAGCTATGCCCGGGCTAAAATATGAAAACACCCCCAGATCTACTGGTAAGTAGCCACTGTTCTGCTTCTCCTAGGGGCTCCCACCCCCTGGGGGCTCCCCGACTTCCCCAAAGCAATTACAGGGCTGTCACCAGCTGGGTCCTCCCGACACTGCCTCTCAAGTCTACCCTGATGGGCTGGCATCCTGTGCCGCCATCTCCCTGACTCCATCTTGCTTCTAGAATCCATGCAAGCTGGGCACAGGGGTACGAGTCCCGAGTACCTCTTCTTCATGGTCCTGGGATTCGTGGGCGCCTGCAGCTGCCTTTGGACCAGTGCTCACGTACAGGGTGGAGTTCTCCCCGTCAGTGTCCTCGATGGCATTTTCCTGGATCATGGATGCCTGTCGCTGTAGCAAGGAAATGAAGAGGGGCGTTCGCCCTTAGAATTTAACAGTGTATGTCAAATAAAGGCTTCCATGAAATAGCCACCAGGGGTGGCCTCCCTGGTGGCACAAAGGGTTAAGTCTTGGCACTGTTAAATCTCAAGCAGCCACTGCAGCACGAGTTTGACCCCCGGCCAGGGAGTGACCCACATGGCACGGCAGAGCTCTCCTGTCTCCCCGCTGCTCCCCTCAGACATATATTTCAGTCAATCTGCCTGTTTTGCTCCCCACTCAGACTCTGGTGAATCTTCTCATGCCCCCACACCTCTGGCCTGCACCCCAGTTCTTGTATGCATAAATAAATGAAAAGTCTTATATAAATAATAGCAACCGGGGACCAGACACTCTTCTGAACTCTCTGGATGACCTCAGGGAGCCTTCGTGACAATCTTTATGTAAACAATTACCACCCCACTTTATGGCAACTTAAGCTACAGCACAGAAAGGCTGAGAACTGGACCCTGCACCCCACTGCTGGTGTGGCTGCTCAGTGGCTGTCTCTGTGCTGCTCCCGAGGGTGCCCGGCACATCCATCTTTACCTCCAGATAACACATATATAAGAGGACCTGTCGTAAAACAAACAAACAAAAAAAAACAGGCCCCTTGGTGGTGCAATGGGTTAAAGCACACTACTATGGAACTATCTACAGTCACTGCAGCACAAGTTCGATCCCCGGCCAGGAAGTGACCCACAGGGTGCAGCAGACCTCTCCTGTCTCCCTGCTGCTCCTCTTAGTAGGGTGTTTCAGCGGCTCTGCCTGTTCTGCTCTGTCTCTGGTGAATCCTCTCAACCCACACACGTCTGGCCTGCATCCCAGTTCTTGTGTGCATAAGTAAATAAATCTTTAAAAAAAATACCACTGTCGTAACATTGTCAGTGGTGCCTTCAATACAGCTTTGTAGGCTGAACAGTCAGATTTCTAGGGACAAAGTGAAGCAGAAGAACTAGGAACTGAGCTGATCTGATGCCTGTATCATCCAAAACTTCCTATGCTGACATCCCCTGGAGAGGCGAGAGCCCATACTTCTGAAGCATGGACAGTGTTGTAAGCCAGAGTCACCTTCACTGTAAATACGCAAACACAGGTGAGAAGCTGAGCGCAGGGTGCCAGGTGGTGAGGGTGGGCCTCCCAGGGAGGGATAGTGCCCTTACACTCTCCAGAGAGTTCTCTCACCCTCCCATCTGTGCAGGCACAGCCCGAAGGCATGCCTGGGGACCAGCAGGGGACCTTGGTCTCCAACTTCCAGCCTCCAGACCTGGTGCCATTTCTTGTCTACATTAGCCAACCGGTCTGTGGCGTTTTGTCACAGCAGCCCAAATGGACTAAGAGAGACATCTCCAACACAAGCATAATTTTTAAAATAAAAAGATCACAGGCCCTCCCTGGTGGTGCAACGGTTAAAGCACAGCACTACAAAGCCAGCCGCAGCCACTTCACTAGTTCGATCCCCGCCAGGAAGCTCACACACATGGCGTGGCAGACCTCTCCTGACCGCCCGCTGCTCCCCTCAGCAGTGTACTTCATCGATCTGCCTGTTCTGCTCCCCACTCTGTCTCTGGTGAAGCCTCTCACTGCCCCTGCACCTCTGGCCTGTACCCCAGTTCTGTATGCACAAGTAAATAAATCTTTAAATAAATAAATAAAAAGATCACTTTATAAAAAAATAAGAAAAAAATTGAAGTGGAAAAAAAAAATCCAGGTGTAGTTTTCCCTCAGCGTGGCTTGGTTTCACACCTGAATTTAAGTAGGCTGTTTCTTTCAAGTCACTGAAACCGATGTGAAAGCTGATCCCAGGGTGATTTCATGGGAGGGTTTTGTGGGTGGGTCGTGAAAGCATCTGTCCCTTTCTTCTTTGAGCAGGTTTTCCCCTTATATTTGCTGGGCCCTGGGAAAAGGTAGAGATTGAAGTCTACCCGGTGTGTGTTTAAATATTTAAAAGTTATAAAGCAAGCCAAGAAATTCTAAATAACCCATGTTCTAGTCTCCTATCTTGACAAGTAAATCGTCTTAAGAACTTGGAAGGCTGCGCTCTGGTTCAGAGTCCCACGCCGGCCTGGACCACCCTTTCCCTCTCTCCACTGGTGCCATCTCCAGCACCCACGCCTTGTGAGCCCAGCCCGGGTACTCCTGCCCACAGCACGCACACTGACCCACACTCCACAGTCCCCCTTGGGCCACGCCAGGGTCTAGGGGCCCCTGCAGCTGCCTTGGGGGGGGGGAACTGGGCTATTTTGTATTTGGACAGGAACTTCAGAATGACAGGCCCCAAGGGGCGCTGGGAAAGCCCCCCCCCCAACCCCATGGGCGGGTTATGGCTCCAGTTAACTACTTTGTCTCCTTGAAATCCAGTTTATCTGTTCACTTAAGGAAGAAAATGCCAAAGAAAGAGAAGCCGGGTTGTCCCTTTCCATCCCTAACTCAAGCCTCTCCTGCTCCTTCTCCTAGATGTGATTAAAATGAACATAAATAATTCTGAGGGAGGCTGAGCGTGGATTTCCAAATTTACTGACTCTTTCCAGTCAAAATATACTCTGCAGTCCCCTCCTTAAACATCTCCCCGTGACAACTGTATGCTGAATGACAGAAGTGAAGCTTTAGCCGTGACCGTAAATTCTACTGAAAACACAACTGTTGGTCCTCAACTATGCACACCGAAACTTATGTTAATGTCATCATGCAGTGTTCCTTCAGTTAAAAAGGATAGAAATAAATGCTTTGGGCCCTCCTTGATGGCGCAGCAGGTTAAAGCACAAAGTTTAGCCGCAGCCACTTATAGCAGGAGTTGGATCCCCGGCCAGGGAGGTGACCCACATGGCGCGGAAGACTCTCCTATCGTGCCTGCTGCGCCCCTCAGCCGGGTACTTCATCGATCTGCCTGTTCTGCTCCCCGCTCTATCTCTGGTGAAGCCTCTCACCGCCCCCCTCCCCACACTTCTGGCCTGCACCCCAGTTCTTGCACGCATAAATAAATAAAAATAAATCTTAAAAAAAAAAAAAAGCAAATCCCTACCCTCTAGAACCAGTCACCCTGAGGGAATAAGACAGAAATCGACCAGAGGTCAGAAATCATTTAGACTCTTCTTGCAAAGCATGAAACAAAACAAGCTGTTGTTTTAGAATCCTGGCGCTCAGGTGACTTCGCAGTCACCACCCGCCTCCCCAACTCCAGCCTTGATCTACAGACAGGCTGCTTCAGGAAAGAATTGTGCATTTATTGCTACAAATCAGTATTTGCTATCTTCTTTTGAACCCTCAGTCCACCTCCACTTTGCATTTTGTTTTCCCACCATTAACAAACGATAAGCACGTATTCTTGGCGTTGCTTCCTGTGTACCTACTAACTACACCTCAGGCTTCCGGACCGCAGACAGACAGGACGAGGAGGAGAAAAACGGGAGCAGCGGGTCGAGGGCGCCCCCTAGCGGCGGACACCCGAACTCCAGTCTCGCCGCGGTCGGGTCTCCCATCCGCGGTCCCACAGATTTTCAAAAACAGGTTTCAACCTGGAAACCCCTACAACCACTTGAAATATGCGCGATCTCGGCACATTCCACTTAATCTCTTGCACTCGTGGTGAAAGCAGACACTGACCATCTCCTGTGGCACAGTTCCGTCTACACTAACGCCCCCCACCACGCTGGTTCAACTTCCTAAATCGTTTGACTTAGACTGGCATTAAACTCTCTTCAGCACCTGAATAAATCTGAGGCTCAGGAGCAGTTTAGACAAAAGAAGGAAATGAGGTGGAACTGGGTCTTGGGCCCAGGGGGGAAATCACAAATAAATAAGGACTTACTGTGTTGACTGCTCTCACTGGTCTAGTAAATATTTACAGAATGCAGTGCAAGCTCACAGCTTAGAAGCCTGATAAACACAAATGTCAATATTCAGAGACTAACGCTAGAGTAAAATACTCTCATTTTCAACCAGTGGAACAATCAGGTTGAGATGAGACTATATGTCACTAACCACCACTGGCCTCAGCACATCCACAGCCCGGCAGGGCGGCAGGATCTGAGATGAAACACGCTCGCCGTAGCAGAACATTACTCTGGAAATCAGGTGCCCTGAGGGGTCCATTTCTTCACCCCTCACCACTGCCCCACAGTCCCTAGGAGCTCAGCATTATCACAAACTCCACTTCAATTTCCAGTGAGTGATCTGAAGCCCCAACGAGTGAAAGGAGACGAACATTCCTCACCTGGGACTTCCGGTGATTGGCTCTAAGAATAAATGGCTTGATCAAAAGCATCCACGGCACAGAAACCAGAGCCATAACGACAAAGAAACTCTGGACTTCTTGCTGCAAGACCAAATGGAAGGATCCAATCACTTTAAGTGACCATGCTGAGTATTTCAGATACAAAGATGATAAACTTGACTCATTTTACTTGTTCTGTATTTTCCCTTTTAAGATTTATTTATTTGCACATACAGAACTGGGGTACAAGCCAGAGGGGTAGAAGCAGGGGCAGTGAGAGGCTTCACGAGAGACAGAGCGGGGAGCAGAACAGGCGGATCAACGAAATACACTGCTGAGGGGAGCAGCGGGCGGGTCAGGAGAGGTCTGCAGCCATGTGGTCACCTTTGGGGCGGGAATCGAACTCATGCGGAAGTGGCTGCAGCCAACTTGGAGTGCTGCATCCTGACCTGCTGTGCCACCAGGGAGGGCCAGTTCTGTATGTTCAAAGCTCTAAAGCGTTTCTGTGCTCTGTTCACCTTCCTGTCTTGGGCCCACTGTCCACAGGGGGCATGCACTGGGGCCTCTTCGCTCCTTACTCTCTCAGCAGCCCCTTCCTGGTCCCCACCCCTCAGGTAAGCAGCCTTTGAGCAGGACACGCTTGAGAGCCCATGACAATGGCACCTGTCCCTTTAAAGCTGTCCCCTGAGGGCAGCGACTCCCTGGCCCTCGATGGAAAACATGGCCAGTCCCATGACACGGTTTACCTGGCATCAGCCAGAAGTTCTTGGGTCACCTGAAGTTACCAACATTCTCTCAACGAGTAATTGTATATTCCAATACTAGCTACTTAGTCAAGCTCTCTTGCTCTCTCTTGAAAAACAAAAGTTCCTGACAATCTCCAGCTGACTTTCAGACTCGCTGCAGAGGCTCCTTGCCAGGCTCTGGGGAAGTGGCTTCTGCTCTTTCCCCCACAATTCACTTTGCACCGAGGCATCTGTGGTCATGGGTCTGTGGAAACCCTCAAGTCACCCCACTGTATCCGCTCCCCCACCCTCATGCCCCACTACATTTCTTGCACCTGGCCACCAGCTTTGAAGAGCAGCCACCAGTGCTGTTCTGAACCCGAAGGCCTGGCCAGAGCTGTGGGAAGGGAGCGGGATGCTCTCAGTGAGAGGAAAACATTCCTTCAGTCTTCACAAGTGTCCTCCTGGGTAACCAGATTTACGCTGATACGCTGGGAACGTCTTATCTGCTCTGTCTTCTGCCCTTCTCCACCTTATAAACTTAAGAGCAAGAAGTCACAGGGAGACACAGCGGACGAGCCCTGGTTCCCTGAGCTCAAAGCGACTTCACTGCCGGCTGCCGATTTATATGTGAGGGTTTTCCCTCCTCATGAGATGCAGAGGAACGAGAGAGGGAGAGGGAGAGAAGGAGAAAGGGAGAGAGGGAGAGAGAGAGAGGGAGAAGGAGAGAGAGAGAGAGAGACCACTTTCTTTTGATACTCACAACTAGCCCTCAGTCAGCAGGCCAGTGGGGATGGGGCTGTGGTTATTAGCTGGCATGGTCTCTTCTCGCTACATTACCCCAGTCACATTTTGGAAAGTCCATACTGTGTCCAGATAATGAAGGTCCCTAAGAGAGCCCGGGGAGGCAACCAGGTCCACAGAGTGTCTGACTGGAAAGAGCTGGACCAGCCGCTCACTCGAGGTTCAGTGTTAATTGCAGGCTCGGGCCTCTATGGTAAGTGGGAGCACGTGAAATGTAAGGTGAAACTGAGTCCTCTGCCTGAGAGAGAATACTGGCTTGGGAACTTGAAGTAAACATTCACTTAGACGCCAACATTCAGCCTACGGACCCGCAAACACATTCGCTTGATGCTGGCAGTTGGGAGGTGTTCAAGGGGACGCTGACACAGAAGAAAACTGTGGTGACAGAGGAGGGCTGTGGCTCTGAGGGTGTGTCTCCAGGGTGATTAGCTACCATGCCCTTGATGGAAACCCTGTCGAGGGCATCGTCTTCCCTTACTGTTATGCTGCTTCTGTAGAGCAGCACACTAGGAACCAAAGCCAGGAGGAGGAGGGAGAATCCCGCCATCTGCACCTTTATTACACGAAAGAAACACGTCAGGCAGGGAAAGACAGAGACAGTATGGTCTCTTTTATATGTGGAATCTAACAAAACAAACAGAGCACATGCACAGAAACAGAGCTCAGAGGCAAGGGCGAGGAAGCAGGAACTGAAGCAAAGGAGACAGAGACACCAACTTCCGGTCATACAACAGCAATAACCAGCAGGCACGGGAGGTGGGCAGGCAAGGTGCCCACTGCCAGTGCTTTGCCCAGCAGTTAAGGGACGCTGTCGAAGAGCAAATCCTAAGAGCCCCCACCACTGGGGACATTTTCTTTCTTTTCTTCTTTCTCCATTTCATTGTATGTGCGTGAGTGTAAGACATTCGTGGACTCTAGTGTGGTCAACATTTCATATCTGTGCAAATCCCACCATCATGTAGTAAGCCTGAAACTTACTAACGTGGGTCAATAATTTCCCAATAAAACTGGGAGAGAGAAGAAAGTAAATAAACAGAACACTGGCATGTCTGTGGGAATTAAAGACAAAGCCACGGGATTGTGCGTGGCCAGAGAAGCAAGGTGACTCAACTAGGCCACCAGCGGAGGGCCCAGGTGCACCAACGGTCACCTGGCACCGGGAACGGGCCCTCGAGTGGGATCCAGAGGACCCAGAACCCATCAAGGGGGTTTGTGAAAGTTACTTCAAATAACATCATCAGGCCAAGCATTGGAGGGAGAGACCAAAGGAAAGAACTGTTTGTATTACCCAAGAATCACCCACTGAGTTATTTTTATATCCAGCACCTGTGAACCGTTATATTTTTTTTTATTTTTATTTTTTTTTAAGATTTATTTATTTATTCATACAGAACTGGGGTACCGGCCAGAGATGTGGAGGGTGAGAGGATTCACCAGAGACAGAGCAGGGAGCAGAGCAGGGAGATCGACGAAGTACACTGCTGAGGGGAGCAGCGGGCGGGTCAGGAGAGATCTGCTGCGCCATGTGGTCACCTCCAGGGGAGGCGGGATCAAACTCATGCAGAAGTGGCTTTAGCTTCTTAATGCTGCGCTTTAACCCGCTGCACCACCATGGAGGGCCATGAACAGTTATATTTAAAAAAAATAAACTGTGAAATGGAGAGTGAGGCAGCAAGAGATGGAAAATCAGAATGAAGCAGCTGATGGGATGTAAAGAGTCAAAGGAAAAGGAAAAACACCTTCCAGGCACACAGAGGGTGAGCGCGGCCCTAGAGCTCCAGAATCACCAGCGTGTGAGCAGAGGGACTCCTTGACTCTATTTCAAGTTTCTTTCTAGTGAACTTTAACTAGAGGTTACATTCAGAGTAAACTGCCAGGGGCTCCCTGGTGGCACAAGGGGTTAAATCTCAGCACTTATGAAGCCACCGGCAGCCACTGCACCAGGAGTTCGATCCCCAGCCAGGGAGTGACCCACACGGCATGGCAGATCTCTTGTCTCACCCACTGCTCCCCTCAGCAGTGGATTTCAATCAATCTGCTTATTCTGCTCCCCACTCTGTCCCTGGGGAATCCCCTCACCCCCTTCTACCTCTGCCCTGTCCCCCAGTTCTTGTATGCATAAAGAAATAAATCTTTTAAAAAAGAATAAACTGTCAGAGATACTTAGGACATTTACAGCTTCAAGCCAATTATTGTGAAGGATTATCTTTTTCTTTTTTCTTATTTTTGGATTATCTTTTTCTTTCTACACAACAAACAAGTTCATTTTCCACCCCCAGCAGCACCCCCAGTGCTGTATCGTCCACACGGGAGAGCAAGAGCCACCTGCACATTCATCCAATAAGAACCTTTTGGAATTTAAAGAGCCTGCTGGGTGCTAAGGCAGCTCAACCTTGCAAGTGCCCCTCTCTGCAACACCCAAGAGGGTGAGAGAGATTGGACACAATCAAACGCATGAGAGAAAAACCCACCCATACCTGGTGTTTGTACAGGGGGGCGTTAGAAGAGTCGCTGTAGTTAAACAGGAACATGTTGATGAAGTGGATGAGGATGCTGGGGGCGTGCTGGGATGCATGCACGTCAAAGTGGCACCACTTGAAGATGATCATGAAAACCAGGTATCCAAACAGGCACAGGATGAAAATCATCTCAGGGATAAATTGCAGAAGGATGTTAAGAATTTTCCTGAAGTATCTGGGGATGAGGAACAGACACACATATAAGGCAGCAACTAATTGTCCCATAACCATTTTCCAGCGAGCAGCAAGGTGCTTTAGTACAAAGGATCCAGCAAGAAGCAGGTCCCCAGCAACGCTGGGTGGGAGCCGAGCCCACTCACAGCACCGACCGAGGCCGTCCAGGTGACTGGGACACGGTGCTTGGGCTCGCTGGGCCCTCCCGAGACCTTTCTGGGGTGAAAGGTGCGCTCACCTTTCTGGCAAAGCAGATGGGCTCCCTCTCCAGGGCAGAGGGCACCCCCATGTCACCGCTCACCAGGGCTGGAGTCAGATCAGGTATTTAGAACTTACACGTGATTGAAAAGGCTGAGGATGACCCCAAAAACCATCTGGACAATGCCCAGGATAACGGACATCTTCATTTTGTAGGAGTTCAAGAAAGTTAGTTTGTTTGAAGCCAAGTTCCAGATCTGGATGGAAAATATGAGGAGAGAATCACCTGAGGCAGGAGGGGAGGGGCCATGGCCCCCCACCTCCCCATGAAGTCTCTCTGGAAGCCATGTTTGCCAATTTCAGTCCAGTGCAAAGCATGAATTTTTGGCTCAAAAAGGACCAAGCCCCTTACAGATGCAACTTGAGGGCCCTCCCTGGTGGCGCAACTAGAAAGTTCTCTGCAGCCACTGCAGCACTAGTTCTATACCCAGCCAGGGACCTCCATGATGCAGCAGACCTCTCCTGCCTCTCCCGCTGCTCCCCTCAGCCATGTACTTTGTCGATCTGCCTGTTCTGCTCCCCACTGTCTCTGGTGAATCCTCTCATGCCCCACACCTCTGCCCTGTACCCCAGTTCTTGTATGCATGAATAAATAAATCTTAAAAAAGAAAAAGAAGGCTCTCCCTGGTGGTGCAGTGGCTTAAAGCGCAGCACTAAGAATTGAAAGCCACTTCCATAGGAGTTCGATCCCCGTCTGCCCCAGAGGTGACCACACGGTGCGGCAGACCTCTCCCGACCTGCCCGCTGCTCCCCTCAGCAGTGTGCTTTGTCAATCTGCCTGTCCTGCTCCCCACTCTGTCTCTGGTGAAGCCTCTCACCACCCCCGAAACCTCTGGCCTGTACCCCAGTTTTGTATGCACAAGTAAATAAATCTTTTAAAAATCATTTAATCTTCTGAGCAAGCCAATGGTTGGGGCTGTCATTATACCCATTTTACAGGAGGAAAGAGACACAGAGAGGCTCACTAGCTAACAGTCACACCGCAAGATAACAGAAAAGGTAAGACTGAAACAGCCATCAATTCCAAAGCATGGCTATTTAGCCATCTGTCATGTTCATTTATCACAAAATACTCACAAACTCCTTGAGAGAGGCCTTTTGCTCTGGTGCCCAAACATTTTTCAATTTGACTCATAAATAGACACTAAACACAGTTAATAAATGCAGCTACAGAAATTTAGATGATGCAAAAACCCTCCACTTATATATGTAAATTGTAATACAGCACAGAGACGCTGTGTTATAGCGGCCGCTCTGGGGAGTAAGATCACAGGGGCAATGTTATTATTATTTAAAAAATAGTACTTGTAGTAAATGGATTTTAACATCATATTTACATACTATTTCATGAAGAAGATATTTTACCTAAATATTAGTAGGAAAACTTATTTTCACCTTCTTTTTTTAAAAGATTTATTTAAAAATCTTTACATACAGGACTGGGGTACAAGTCAGCGGGGGGAGGGGAGGCGAGAGGACTCACCAGAGACAGAGTGGGGAGCAGAACAGGCTGATGGTCTGAAATACACTGCTGAGGGGAGCAGGGGGAAGGCAGGCGAGGTCTGCTGCGCCATGTGGGTCACTCCCTGGCTGGGGATGGAACCTGTACTGCAGTGGCTGCGGACAGAGCTGCGCTTTAACATGTTGTGCCACCAGGGGGCCCTATTTCCACCTTCTTTCAGCCTCACGTTTCTTCCTGTTATTTCTAACTCTGAACAGATGACAAAATCGTATGCTAGCTACAAACTCTGATCCACTTGGCTCTGAAATGTGAAATACTCTGCCCTTTATGAAGAGCAGAACTAGGCAAGCAGAATTTGCTGATGAATAAGATGTGGGCTGGGAAGGGAAAAAAGGAAACTGTTGAAGCCATGAGATTCAATGCAAAGGAAGGTCAACCAGACCCAAAAGTCGCCCTCCCCTACTCCTCCTGCTCTGCTAATCATGAAATTCCTTGGATAAGAAGAAGGCCTTCCAGTCTGCAGAAATAACAGGTTGTCTCAACCCTTTGCAGCTCACACGCCAGCTTTCAAGGACTTTACCTCTTTTGATAAAACTTAGAATGCAAGTGCACGTGGTGGTAAAGATAAATCTTGGATGAAGATTTTCTTTTACAAGGGAGGGGAAGCAGGCAGACTGAGGGAAGCCCCCAGAAAATGAAGGGGTGCTGACCCACGAGATAGCACAAGACAGAGAAACAAGTTGATGGCAGGGTGTTTACTCCTAACTGGCAGCAATTAAACTGAGATTCTGGTTTCTCTTCCACAAGAAGAGCTTAGGAAGCAGACAGAGCTTGCCAACTTTCGTTCTAGACTACCGTGCTCATTTGGAACACAAGGCTGCCACCTGGTGGCAGTGTGCATCAGTCCATTATGGGCGCACAATTTCCTGAAATATGTCTTGAGGCCCTCCCTGGTGGGCAGCGGGTTAAAGCACAGCACTGAGAAGCTAAAGCCGCTTCCGCATGAGTTCGACCCCCGCCTGCCCCAGAGGTGACCACATGGCGAGGCAGACCTCTCCTGACCCGCCCGCTGCTCCCCTCAGCAGTGTACTTCGTCGATCTGCCTGTTATGCTCCCCACTCTGTCTCTGGTAAATCCTCTCGCCACCCCTGAGCCTCTGGCCTGTACCCCGGTTCTGTATGCACAAATAAATCAATCTTTAAAAAAAAAAAAGAAATATGTCTTGAAATCTAAAGGCTGTGCAAAGAAGCAGCTTTGTGTTGCTTGGTTCCAATCCAACTGAGATAAACATAACAAGTACACGTTAACACTTCACTTCTTTAAAACTTGTACCATTTCTGTGTAATAAAATAAAGCAAAAATAAAAGCAAATCCATACCTTTCTAGGAAAAAGGGAGACTGGACCCTTTATAGGAAAATGTCAAAGCAGGAACTTGACCAGGATGCAAAATTGCCTATTTAATATGCAACTTTCCAGTTAGCCACGGACATTTAAAGGAAGCAACTATTATCTACCAGAGGTGTGACTAGTGGAAGAAGACAATGTTTGTGAACTGCATGGATTTGATACAGGAATTGGGTAAAGAGCAGTACAGGGTATTATCAGAACCCAGTGCAGCGTCTCACAAAAGCCTCTAACACATGTTATTGTATCTCAGCGTAAGTTTGCTCATTGGACAGCTTCTGGCCTTCTACCCCACCAAGCCTAGGCGACACATTCTACGTAACAAGTTTTTAACCCAAGAAAAGTTATTACCGGATCAATCCCAAACGGGTATGGATTTCCAGAGAACACTCCTGGAATGGCAGGGTCCAGCTGCAAAAGTGGATTTTCTTCTATTGTGTGCTTACTGTGCAGAGAGAAAGGAAAAACAAAGACAAACCAATGATCAATCAGAGGTCGGAAAAACTACAAAATGGCCATAAGTGGTGAATTGCAAGTCAAAGTCTGTGAGTGCAGCTCATCCATTTGGCTCATTCAATTATTCTACCAATGAATGTTGAACACCTACTATGTGTCAATTATGGTGCTGGGTGCCGAGACAACAGAAATTACTGTCTGGTCCCACAGACCGTCTCCAAAGGACTTACTGCGATGGGATTCAGCAAAGGAAAACACTCAGACTACTGAACACACATCAGCAACAATGGAGGGGCAGGTGTGAAGGGAACACAGAGGAGACAGAACCTTTCCAGGCTCCAGACTGGGAAAACTGCCTGAAGACACATGGGCTGATCCTGGAGGAATGAATCAGCTTTCACTCAAAAACTGTGGTTCATCAAATTTCTTTAAATCTGTAGGAGTCTCTTATTTGCTCTGCCGGCCCAAGGAGATAAGCGCACTTGGGTTTGGCTTTGTTGTTACAGCGAATGAATCTATGGAGAATCCAAGAATGAGTGAAATGATGAAAATCCAAGCACTGTCCACTTCAACAAGATGCCTAGAAATAGACCCCCCTTCTTCCCGCAACTGAGTGCTGGGGCGTGGGGGTGGGTATTAGGAAACCTGATCGTGCTGGCTGGTCCTCAATGGACAGTGGAAACAGCTGGCCGTGACTGGCCAACCCAGAACGGATCCCTGCCCCACCCCACCCCACCCCAGCACGCTTCAGTGACAATGATTAGATTCAGTTAGCAGAGATATGGTTCATGTGTCAACAAAGGAAAACCCACTCTTGACAAGCAGGAACTGGCTCAGCACCATGACCACTGCTGAATACAAACAATTCCCCAGAATACCAACACCCAACAAGCCTCCCTGGAACCGGGATGGCTCAAAAATAAGCCCATCCCACAATCAGGCCTGAAAAGGGGCAGAAAAAGGACATTGCCCACACCATGAAAATGAGCAAATGTTTATTCATCCTCTCGAGAGAGAAATGCTCTGAGGACCTCTAGCATCCTTTCCATAGAATAGAGTCTCCAGCAAATGGTGCTGGATAAACTGGATGGACTCTTGGAAAAGAACAAACTGGATCACTCTAACTCCATGCACAAGCACCAGTGGTCATGATGTCATGACCACAGACATGTCTTTGGAGCTACCAACCCCTACAGCAAGGGAAATAAAAAGCGTAACAAGTGGGTTTGGGGCCCTCCCTGGTGGCACAAGGGGTTAAAGCACAGCACTATGAAGCTATCACAGCCACTGCAGCAAGAGTTCGATCCCCGGCCAGGGAGCTGACCCACAGGGCACAGCAGGACCTCTCCCCTCTCCCCACTGCTCCCCTCAGCAGTATATTTCAGTGGATCTGCCTGACCTGCTCCCCACTCTTGTCTCTGGTGAATCCTCTCACCCCCCAGCACCTCTGGCCTGTACCCCAGTTCTGTGTGCATACATAAGTCTTGAAAGAAAAAAGTTGGGATTAGCTCACATTAAAAAAGTTTTACACAGCAAGAGGAAATACTGGCACCAGCCCTTCTTCAAGCACAGCCACTGCCCAAATACTGGGAGGCACAATTTCACTTTCTCTAGTTCCCTGCCTGGGCAAGGGAAGCTTCAAACGTCACCTACTTCTCCACAAAGTTCTGTTCCCAGGAGGCTTATCTGATGCCCCGTTCACACCTGCTCTACGGGCTGCTTTCACCATGGAGCCCAGCACGTAGAACTCTCTCCACGCTGCACACTTTGTCTGCAGACTTACTTCCACGTGCCATTTCTGAACATGGGTCGGACACTCCAGGAAGAGCCGAAAATGTTGAAAGACTTGGAGAAGCAGTCGTTGTAGATCAGGCCGGTGTAGATGGAGAAGATACCCATAAGGAGTATCAGATAGCGTCCGTGGAAGAACGTGTTCCAGATCTGGCCTCGGGAGACAGAGCGGACTGTCAGTGGCTTCTGAGTCAGACTCCAGGCAAAACTGTGTTATAAGCCAGCGCCATCCTCACCGCCGCAATGGCCAGAGCCAGGCACGCAAGCATCCCTCAGCGCGGCCATGGACTAGGGGACATCAGAGTGATTCAGAGAGAAAGAGCACACACATCACCGTGCTCCTTAGCTTACACAGGGATCCCAGGAAAGCCCTCGACTGGAAGCTGTTATTATGAAAAGAAAACCTTCCTATTCTTATTTATGAAAATAAAAAGCTTCTTCTTCTGTCATTTAGCCTTGGTTTGAACATGTAACTGAAGCAGAAGCTGACGGCTCCCCTGTCCGGCCAGGGTCTTGAAAGGGGGTCGCCTCAAGTGTACCCAGGGGACAAGCACCGAGCTGGCCTCTGTCACTGCTGAATGTCATGGCAAGTCAGGTCTGAACTCACTTGGGATTTGTCGTCATAAAGCTGAGATCCAAGCCCATCCACCAAGAAGAGTAAGCACCCAGTTACCCTGGGTGATGTGTATCCATCATGCTAAGAAATGCTGAAATGTAACTTCGAGGCTTTAAATATTTAACAGGAAACTATGTTAAATGCTTGTCATGGAAAACTGCATCGGGTAAAGCCTGACTTTCCCAGGAAGCGTGTTGATGATTAACTCTCTACCCCATCGCTGACCTGGCTCTCGTCAAGTTCACCTATAATCAAAGGCTGCAGACACTCTGAAAATTCAGAACAGAGCTAAGGGCAAGTTTCCACTCGGGAACATGTACTACAAAAGACATAAAGTGGTGCTAATGGCTCATTTTGAAAGAATGCAAGCTCTGGGGTTGTCTCAATTTTCACAATATGCTGTGAAGGAACTTTACACAAGGCAGGGGAACAGCAGGTGTGAAAATGAGGCTGTGAGGGCCCTCCCTGGTGGCGCAACAGGTTAAAGCACAGCACCATGAAGCTCTCCGAAGCCACTGCAGCATGGTTTGATCCCCAGCCCGGGAGGTGACCCACATGGCGTGGCAGACCTGTCCTGACCCGCCCGCTGCTCCCCTCAGCAGTGGATTTCAGTCCATCTGCCTGTTCTGCTCCCCACTCTGTCTCTGGTGAATCCTCTCACCCACCCGCATCTGGCCTGACCCCAGTTTTTGTATGCATAAATAAATAAATCCTTTAAAATAAAAAAGAGACTGTGATTTCTCAGGGCTTCTCAGTTCTCAAAAAGCATTGTCCATGGGCTGGCAGAAGGGACCTGTCGTGAGAAAATGTTCACTGCCGTGAGAACATGTCTGTGGTATTTCAAGTATGTAAAGGAGATGATGAATTAAAACGCACCTACTTGATAACAATGATGAAAATTATATATTCCCACATGTTCATAGGCTGTTGTATTTCCCCAACCTTAGCCATGAACACACACTGCTTTCATAATCAAAAAAATCTACACTGGGAAAGAAAAAGTGAAGGAAAAGATCAGTGCCTTGTCAGGCCCCGAGTACAAAGCCCAAGCGCTGGAAAGAACAACACCAAAATATGCAAAGAATTTACCTTTGTCCAGGAGTTTTATGCTGAATGGTGACCCTTATTTACATTCCATCTTTTCTCGGCATCATCAGCATAGGTTCTTGTGACAGTCAAAGCATACATTTTTCTTTTTTAATATTCTACTCATAACCTGACGGAGATGAGGGACACCCACCTCGTTGTCGCTCTTCTGGGACAGCAGGCGTCTCTCATTGAGCACCATCCAGAGGGCTGCCAGCAGCATCACCGTCCCATGGCCACAGTCTCCGAACATCACGGCAAACAGGAACGGGAACGTGATGATGGTGTAGGGAGCTGTGAGACGAGAGTCACGGCAGCCCGAGTGGCCCAATATCCTTTGGGCCCCCCCAAAGATTTCTCCAGCACCACTCCAAAATCCCCTCGTTGCCCTCTTCCCTCACCTTCTGCCCTCCATTTGTTTAGACCCGGGCACATTTGGCCTCTGATGAGCAGGCTTTACATTCTCCACTGCAGCAGGTATTCATCCGGGTCCCTGCACTGCTGAACACCAGTCAGATGGGGACCCAGCACAGCTTAATAAAAGACAACTGGTTGACCCTTCCACTTTACAAATCAGGCTACCAGGATCCCACCGCTTAGGGCACTAGGAAGCAAGTCTTCTGACTCTAAGTCCGGCAAGCTCCTGTCTCCCTCACAGTAACTGCAGGACCATGAAGATGCCTGGAGATGGCCCCCCGCTGAATTGGTGAAGGAAAAAACAACTGAATTTGGCTGCCTGAGGAGGTTCACATTTATGGAAGAACAGGTGACGATAACCAAAGAACACCTTTTGCAGAAGACAGAACATGGCAACAATCTTAGAAATGTCACAATCTTAGGAATGTCACAAAGTTTAGGAATTCACCTTCTAGGTCACCTCAGGGGCAAATCTTACCCAATTCCCATGACCAAGCTGCCCACCTGTGCAAAGCATTAGGTCCCTTACCTGGGTTTATCTCCCGGTAATTGCCAACGCCATATGCATCCACAATATTCTGGAAGCCAGCTGTGAATTTATTGGTCCTGTTAAATGTGGGAGGGTCTGCTTTAGACTGCACTGTAGTCATGATGGGGACCACGGAGGAGCCACTGAGGTACTGCAAAAAGAACACCCAGCAGTGTAAGGAAGACCGCCTTGTGTGTACAGTCAGAATGTGGATCAACTTGGGACAAATTCTTGACCTCTGAGACCCATGATTGCATCTGTAAAAGGTAAAACCTTCCTAATACTTATCTGTAAGACAGTTCCTTCTGGCAGCTTCCACTCTCCTGCTCCCGAAACACAGGTGTTACAACAAAGTTCTAGACCTTCTACTCCCCCTGTATCCACTCACTTCCTCAAGAGCCATCCACTTTCCAAATATCATCCCTACTCTTCCAAATGGCACTGACCCTCCCCCCAAGTTCTTTTCATTTTTTTTTTAATGAAGTACCATTGTTTTACAACCTTGTTCATTTTTTCACAGTACAGGATTTCTCTCCTCAGGTGTGAGCATAGCTTCCCATCCACCCTCCCCCCCAACCTGTGGTTCAAAATGCTCCTCCCCCTCGCCTCTTCTCACCCTTCCCTCTCCCCTCTGCATGCTTCAGTTGACAGTCAGCTTTCCAGGGCTGGTCTTCGTCTGACCCTTTGTTTCTCTATTTTCCACATATAAGTAACACCATCCGGTATTGATCTTTCTCCTTCTGGCTTATTCATTTAGCATAATCCCTTCCAGCTCCTTTCCAAATTTCATTCCTTTTTTAATCATCCACCTACACTTTGTTTTTGTTTATTTATTTATGAGTACAGAACTGGGGTACAGGCCAGAGGTGCAGGGGTGAGACAGAGTGGAGAGCAGGACAGGCAGGTGTACTGCTGACGGGAGCAGTGGGCGGGTCAGGAGAGGTCTGCCATGCCATGTGGGTCACCTCCCTGGCCAGGGATCAAACTCATGCTGTAGTGACTGTGGAGAGCTTTATCGTGCTGTGCTTTAACCTGTTGTGCCATCAGGGGAGGCCCCGCCTACACTTTGGGATTCTGGTGCTTCTTCAGCAACCCCACATAATCTAGGAGCCTAAAACTGAGCTCAACTCACCCCAAAGCCAGGTCCTCGTTGAACTCCCTGTTCCTTCTGAGTTCTTTAGATTACTGCAGCTTTGAATCAGCAGACATGTCCCTTATGATCCAATCAAGCCCCATCTTGCTGTGTTTTAAAAATCTCCCACATTCTCAGCCCACAGCCACCTCCTCCACCCAGGTCTCGTCATCTTGCTCCAGCCTCTTTCCCTTCCACTTCACCAGAGGTGACCCCCTCTGTACTCAAAATCTTCAAAGATTTCCCATGTCTTAGGGAATGAAATCAAGGCTCTTGAGTCTAATAAGCCAGATTCCACTGCAATATTAACTTAATAGTCCCACCACACCTTGAACCCCAACTTCTCTCCATTGAAATCAGCCAACTCCACACCAGACATCTCTCTTCTTCACTTATGCAAGATTAGCAACTCTCCAAGCTCACCCCTAAGAACCTTCTAGTCACTTCACACTCCAACAACAGGTAACATCTGCACACTTGGGGTCAGCACCAGCTAAACAGATGCTCATGGTCCTCAGCTCTTTGTGACATCAATTCTCCTCACACTGTGAGGAACTAGGGGTCCCCACAAGCCCCCTTTACAGGTGAGGAAACAAAGACACAGAGAGGTCAAGTCACTTCCCCAAGGTCACACAGCAAGTGGAGGAATTCCTTGTCAGAGCTCATTCACAGGTGTGCCTCCTGGGTGCGAGGACTGTGACTTTCTCTTTCCTTTGACCTGCATCCCAGTAGCTGACATACTCGACCTGCATCCCAGTAGCTGACATACTCGACCTGCATCCCAGTAGCTGACATACTGCCTGACATAAGTATTTTCTGCTTACTGGTGATGATTTTGATAGCTCACCCCTTGACTTTTCTTCTTTATCTCCTACCCTCACAGGCATCTCCTCCTATCAAGGGATCTGAATTTGTTCTGTCAGGACTGAAGAAACCAAAAGAACAGGCCTAAGTAGGTGGCAGGTGTCTGGCTCCTTCCAGCCATGGATGCTGTGCCATCAAAGCCCGGAGTGAGGACACCTCCCCACGGCCCGCAGCCTTCTCCACACTGCAGAGAAGCACCTTGAAGCAGATGGGGTCACGTGACTGCATCATGGCCACAAAGCCAGAGCCCTGGCCGGCTCCGTAGTTCCTCGGGGCAGGCCAGTGGCCACTCCCAGTTTTTTGACCCAGCCACAGGCTCTCTCCAGCCACTGAACACAGGGTGGGCCTCACGGCCCCTCCTCACCTCTCCTCACCGGCTCACTGACCGCTCTTCATGGTTCAGCCCTGGAGTCACTTCCTCCAAGAAGCACCCCGCCCTCCCCAGCGTGGAAGAAAGGCTCTCTTTAGATGCCCTGCTGAGGTGGCTGCTGGGTCATGGTGTGGGGACATTCGAGTGTGTGGGTTAAGAGGAGCCCTTCCTGGACGTGGCCAAGTTACTTCTGTCTGTGGCCAGTCTCCTCCTCTGTACAGGGAGGGTCAAGACAGCTGCTACTCCCAGCCGCTCCCACCTCAAGGTCTTCAGCCCGAAAGTTTCCCCTCCCACTGACCCCCTAATCATCCCATGACATTTTGGGAAGGCTCTTCCAGTGCCACCTATTCAGACAGGGCTTCTCAGATGACAGCCCTAATATATCAAGGGTCACTCTGACATCTCTGAGCCTCACAGCGCCCTCCAAAGCCATGAGCTCCCTGGCGCTCAACCTCTGCAGCCCAGCCAGCTCTCCCACACTCCAGAGCAGCCGGCCCCTGCCCCAGTCTTCAACATAGTGGGCTCCGCTTCCCTGCCACCCTGGGAAACTACTCAACAAACTAATCACATCGCCCATGGAAGCCAGGGAAACCCCCACTCCTGCCATCATGCTGTTCCCCAGGGCAGGTTCAAAATACCACCGCGCCAGCCCGCGGTAACCCGCCCACCTCCCGCACCGACTGTGAGCGAGCGCAACTGACATGTGCTGCCAATGTCACAGACAGACGGCAGTTTGCCCACCTCCTACTCTCTAGGGGAATGTGCCGCCATCACCACTAAGAGTCAGAACAAGCCCCATGCCCTGACCAGCCCACCAGGCCCCTGTTCTCCTCCCTGCCCACCAGGCAACCCTGCATGGCATTCTGCTGGTTATGGACCAGTCTGTGTCCCTTTCTAGAAAGGCTATCAAGACAAAGCCTGCTCTGCTGGGGAGCCCTGGTGAGCTCCTGGTGCCCAGTGACCACCCAGAGAGATGAATGAGGAGAGTTGTGAGAAATTAATAGGCAGGTTCCCGCTCAGCACAGCGGCTGGCACACAGCAGGCAATGCACGCATTTGCACCGTTACTGGTGCCTGGTTACACGTCTCTCCAGGTGCCCCATAGGAGGTGAAGCACACTCTCTGTGGGCACAAGTAGCCCACAGACTGGCACACCCTCGCCCCTACCTCTCACTGAGGATCAAAGAAACATCGGACATACGTTAAACACCAAGAACAGATGGTTCAGGCTGCACCCTCACTCCAGCTTAGAGACTGCCGATACGAAGACGAAGGAGACCACCCTCCCGTGAGGTCAGTGGCTCGGGGCCAACAGCCCGCCCAGACAGGACGCGCCTCCCCCGGCCTCCTGCGCCCCGCCACTCACCGCGCCCTGCTCCAGGGTCCGCTTGATGCGCGCAGCGTCAGCCACTGGGAACCAGATCTCAGCGATGACGCACTGCTGGGTGACGTCGATGTTGCACATGTTCAGGATGTGGTAGACGGCCTTCATCTTCTGCACCTTGATGGCCCAGGAGTGCCAGCTGGCAGCGGCTTCCTGCAGGAGGCGCTGACGGTGAGACTCCGTTTGCGTTATGACCTGGGCAAAAAGCAACACACAGAAGAGCCAGGAACGTTCACGGGGAGATTTGGCCACGTGCAAAAATGGTTCGTTGGCCAGAGGGGCTTCCCAGGCCTGGGCTACCCCTGGGCTGGGCCCCATACAGACTGTTTTACTCACCCTACTAGAGGAGAAAGCCCTAAAGCAAAGATTGTGTCTTCCCTTTCTTCTAATGTCCTCGCTATTCTATTGTTATGGGTTGAACTGTGTCCCCCAGAAGACAGGTCGAGGTCATGAGACCGTAAACCCAGGGACCTGTGAACATGACCTTGTATGGAATCAAGTTAGGCTCAGGTTGCACTGGACTAGGGGGGAGACAGGGCCGGTGGCCTCCTAAGGGATTTGGACACTGCAGGACCCAGGGAACAACACCCCAGGTGATGATGGGGAGCAGAGATGTGCATTTACGACCAAGGGACCCCAACATCACCAACAAGTGCCAGAGCCAGGGAGATGCTTAGTTGTGAGCCCTAGGACAAGTGAAGGATAATTAGGCAGCTTCAAGGAGGCTGTGGGGGCACCTCAGGAGAGTGAGGGGAGGCACCAGAGAGAAGGGCAGCAATTCTATAGGGGACTAAACAAACGCCCCACTGGGGACAGGAGCACCTTCCCAAGGACAATAAAGAAAAGGAGTCTAAGATGGTAGGGCCTAGTTCTGGGCACACAGACATTAAGACAACGAGTGAGGGGCCTCCCAGGTGGTGTGACAGGTGAAGCACAGCACTGGGATGCTGGCAGCAGCCGCTTCGGCACAGTTCCATCTCCGGCCAGGGAGGTGACCACAGGGCGCGGCAGACCTCTCCTGACCGCAGACCTCTCCTGACCGCCCGCTGCTCCCCTCGGCAGGGTACTTGTCAGTCGGCCTGTTCTGCTCCCCACTCTGTCTCTGGTGAAGCCTCTCATGGCCCCTGCACCTCTGGCCTGTACCCCAGCTCTAAATGCCTAAACAAATCTTAAAAAAAAGAGTGAAACCACAGAAAAGTAACCAGTCACAAAGAGACTGGTGGGACTTCAGGATAATCAAGGAACTGAAGGTCTGTGTTCCCTGAGGCAGGACTCTCTTGAGCTCCTCGCCCTCCCTGGACCGACCCAGGGGCCTGCGAGTCCCACTTTATTTCTATTCTCTTTCTCCTTAATAAACTTTTTTTTGGGCCCTCCCTGGTGGCGCGGCGGGTTAAAGCACAGCACTAAGAAGCTAAAGCCACTTCCGCATGAGTTCAATCCCCGCCTGCCCCGGAGGTGACCACATGGCGTGGCAGACCTCTCCTGACCCGCCCACTGCTCCCCTCAGCAGTGTACTTCGTCCATCTGCCTGTTCTGCTCCCCACTCTGTCTCTGGTGAATCCTCTCATCGCCCCTGTGCCTCTGGCCTGTCCCCCAGTTCTGTATGCATAAGTAAATAAATCTTTTAAAATAAACAAAAACAAACGTTTTCTTTCTCATTTGTTTGCCTGAGCATCTGCAAAACTCCTGCGGCAGCTCCATGAGACGCCAGCCCTGGAGATCTATTGGCCGGGACTCAGAGCGGCCCCTACAGACTGGGATCCAGTCCTGGCTGGGAGACTCAGCCTGAAAACTTGAAATTTCAGTATCAGTTTGGCCAGGTTGCTAGAACAAATAGCACAGAGTCAGGGTTACACACAGAAACATTTCTCACAGTTGTAGAGGCTGGAGGGAGCTTCCTGGCTGGGTCTGGCCCTCTTAGTGTCACAGGGTGAAGCCTGCCCTCAGTCACCTAATCAACTCCCAAAGGCCTCAGCTTCTTGTACCACCCCCTTGGGCTTTAGGTTTTTGACTAAGAATTTGGGGGGTGGGGGGAATGAGGAGAAGACACAAACTTTCAGACTTTGCAAGAAGGGGCCTCCCTGTGCTTTCAGGGGATCCCCAAGAGGGTCACCTGCATCTCAGACTTGGGGCCTCCAGAATCATGAGAAAGAAAAGCTCTGGTTTCAAAGCCACCCCATTTGTGACCTTTATGAGGGCAGCTTTAAGCGGTGAATAGAATTATGAAAATGTTTTCTACACGTAAGCTTGTCAATAAGTGACCAGTGAATTAATGAGTGACCCACAGAGAGTTTGTTGAATGGAATGTGTCTGTCTGGTGATAATAACATTTAGGGTAAGTTTTCAGTGAGTTTACCTGTGGCTACCTGCACCATATAAACATAAGCTTAAGTCTAGTTTAATATCTTGGGAAGTTTCCATAAAATCTAGCATGAAACCTTTGGGGAAAAGAATTTCCAGGGAAATTCTTCAGGTAAACAATGTATACTTGTTGAGTGACAGAAGAAGAACAGAGAGGTCTAAACATTTTTTTCTGAAAAGGAAAAGATGTCCGTTAACCTTAGAGTTTTGAAAAACACACACACCCTAATTTCTAAGCAGTTATTAAGGCTCTAGAACAGCAGCTGCTAAAAATTAAATTTAACTAAAATGAAATACAAATAAAAATTCAGTTCCTTGGTTTCACTGTCATGTTTCAAGTGCTTGGTGGCCACATGTAGCTCGTGGCTCTGATGTAGGGCTCACAGGGTAGGTGACACTTTCACCCCAGAAAGTTCTCTTGGACTGGGGAGGGAAGTCTAGAGTATACAATTTGGTATTGGTCCAGCTGCTTTCAGGGATGACTTTCAAAGCTGCTGTGATGAGATGTGGTATATAATTGCTGTGGAATACTATGCAGCAATCAAAAAGATAAACTCATGCCATAAACAAGGACAGAGCTGGAAGGGATAAAGCTAAGTGAAATAAGGCAAGGGAGAAAGATAAACACTGACTGGTGTCACTGATATGTGGAATATAGAGAAAAGAGTTTGATAAAAACTAACCCTTGAAAGCTGACTACAGAACTGAAACCCCGAAGGGGAGTAGGGGGAGAAATAAAGAATTAAAAATCAACGAATATATTTTAATTGATAAAATAAAGTTTCCTCCAAGGAGGTAAAAGAGCTGCTATGATGGATGAAAGTAAGTGTTGAGTGCAACCCATGACAGGTGACAACAGACTTGATGAGAGGATGTGAACTCGGGGTACGCTGACTGTGATGAGGAGTCTAGCTAGACTCACTATTTTTACAGAGTTTGTGGGTTGGTGCAAAGAATCAGGCAATTCAATGGAAAAGGAAATGGTCAAACTGGTTAATCAGCAAAGCGGCTACTTAGCTGGTTGTAGAGGCAGTCTGTCAGGCCAGGTGGCTGCCCAGGGCTTACTGGGGCTGGGGCCAGTGCTCTGACTTGCACAGTCACCGTCTCCAGCTTGCTGAATTGCATTCTGATTATGAAATGTTGCTCGGAGAAGGCTTCAAGGCAGCCTTTAAGCAAGGCCCTGGAGCCAGGACTTGTATTTGCAAAGAATAAAAGGAGGCCATCAGGAGCGCCTCCCTGGAAACCCCAGAGACACCCCACTCACAGTGATTAAGTCTTCCAGCCTCATGTTGACACCAGCGAGCATCTCTCTGCGCTCCGCCGCGGGCTCCGGGCAGGGGTAGATGGTGGCTCGAAACCTGTGTGGACACATCAAGAGGACACGTGGGTAGAGGCTGAGAAGCCCCTGCATGCCTCCGAGTGCTGAGTCATCCCTGCTGGCTCCAGACACCTTTCCTAGAATTCCTAGAATCAGTGTCTCTTTGGCGATCAGAGTAAGTCCCAGTTCTAAGGATCCCCAATGCATAGTTTGCACCATTTGAATTAAGCTGTGCTTCTAGAATCTGAATGAGCCTCATTCAAACCCTGAAATGTGGGCGCTGTGTGTGAGAGGGACTACAGGCTCAGTTTGTCCCTTCTTCGTCCAGTGTATTCACGGCCTCTCTACTGAGGAATTTCTCCTTCTACGGTGCTACACAGAGGCAAGTGCTGTAAAATAAGAAACAAATTAGCATGCCACTTGCCTACTCTTCAGCAGCTGGGTGGGAATACACTGAAATAGTTAAAATATCTACTTCAGTTACCTTTTTAAATGCTGCTCATTCAAGTTCTCTCTGTTGCTGTTTCCACAGCTATTAAAAGACAATTTCATTTTCAGCACGCTTCTCGGAATGGGAAAGCGCTAAAAACCTCAAAGGCCCCCCTCATTCCTTCCCGGGGTGCATTCTGCACTTCCTGGAACTGACCTAATCACCCCTGCAGAGACCTCTCTTACCCATCGCAGATCTTCTTGATTTTCTGTCTGAGCTGCTCCCCTTGATAAAATATGATAAATATATTCTTTTTAATTTCTTCTTTCTGGAAAGTCATAACAAGGAAGGAAATTAGTAATTTTTCTTTCTGGTTAGAATTATAGAAAGAGATGGAAAGTCTTGATTTCATGTTATTTTACGTATATTTTTTAAAGGTTTATTTATTTATTTATTTATACAGAACTGGGGTACAGGTCAAAGGTGCAGGGGTGGTGAGAGGATTCACCAGAGACAGAGTGGGGAGCAGAACAGGCAAACTGATGAAGTACACTGCTGAGGGGAGCAGTGGGCGGGTCAGAAGAGGTCTGTCGTGCCATGTGGGTCAGCTCCCTGGCCGGGGATCGAACTTGTACCGAAGCACCTGTGGCTAGCTTTGTAGTGCTGTGCTTTAACCCACTGCACCAACAAGGAGGGCCACGCATCATTTTATCATTATTAAAATGATAAATTTAACATTGGAAAACTTTTGAGTTGTCTTAGTTGAGCTAAGCTTAGACTGCAAATATTACCTCACTATCTGCTATGCTACTTGAACCACAGCAACTGGACCCCATGTTCCACAAAATGCGCTAGTTAATTTAACCCAACACCCAGAAGAGAGGACCAGGACGTCACTAGGCTGAAGATGAAAAGTGCTGACCCAGCTCATCAGCGTCAGTTCACAACACCCACAACTTCAGGGGTGAGTGGGGGTTTGATATTTAACATAGGCAAGGCCCTGTCTAATGTTTAACTCACTCAGTTACTACAGGCCAACAGAACACTGATTAAAAATCATCCCCTACTGCAAGATTGCATAGAGAAAATTCCCCTAAAAAAAAAAAAAAAACACTGAGCAAGGTGTATTTTTAAGTCCAAGTTTGACAAGTCATGAGGGAAATCTATCTCCCATAAGCATAGATGAAAATGTTCAACTTTTACTGGAAGCAAGAAAGGTGCTTTTTTATTGTAGTTGAGTGTGGAGTGGTTAGAAAAGGTAGTCATGAAATCCATTGTTGGAAAAGTTACAACATCGCCATTCTGGCCATTTGTCAGGGACCATCAAGGGCCTCAGAAACACCCACACCCTTTCAGCCAAACACCCACACCCTTCAAGCCAGAAATCATGTCTTCTTGAACTCAAATCCTAGAAGAAATTCAAAAGAAAAAGAAGTAGCACACCTGAAGAGACTCATCACAATCTCTACGTTCTGGAGAGAAATGAAACTAACGTATTAACAGACAGTTAATGGTAACTCATTGGAAATACTGATTGAAAAGATCACCAAAATACATCATCTCTTTGGGAGTTGAAATAGATCATCTTTTGATCTTTTAAGGCTTGACCTTATTTCCAAAGGTCCCTTCACCTGGTCCTTTCAAAATCTCTTGGCTCCTCTTGCCTCTGGCTCCATTAGAACCAAGACTCCATTTTGAAGTCATCATCAGCTCCGTGACTTTCAGTGTTCACAGGCAGAAGTAAGCTTTTCCAGACACTTACTTGAGAAACACACTCTCTACCACCCTGGCTATTACATGTCAAAACATGATTCTGAAAAGTGATGATTCAATGTCAAGAGTTAAAATAACATTCAAGGGCACACCATCCTGTAGGGAGATGCTCATGGAAGGACGCAAAGTTTCCAAGAATTATTAGCCCCAATTAGATTGTACCTGCTGGTGTTAATAAATAATAATTTTTAATAAAGATACTGGAGTGTTTATTTAATAAGCATTCTTCTATTCGGAACTTAACGATGAAACTGTTCCCCTAGAAATAAAACTTGAGATTAGCATGTAGCCTGTATTCTGGAATAAAGTCCTGAGTCTTTTAGAAATAAGCCCAGCTCCTTGGCATCAGATGTAAGTGAATTTAAATGCTGAACAGAAGGGTACGCGAACAAAACCCTCCAGAATTACAGAAGGCGGAGTTGGCCACGTGACCCCCCCCCCCCACAGAACCTGCATTTTAACAAGACCCTGGGTGACCCCCTAGCTCGTAAGCACATTGACACTCCGCTGACCTAAATCAGGTCTTAGTTCTTTGCTTGGATGGCATTAGCACGACTCAGTTTCAAGAAACCAGGGCAGTAAAGATCCTTGAAGGAATGAACACAGGTGGTAGTAAAAAGACTCTGTCCTTGAGCTGAACTTCCAAAGTAATTTTGAAAAAGGAAAGGAAACAAGAAAAGAAAGGACAAAGAGGGGCCATAGATAGCAGCTTCATAGAACGACAGACTCAACATTTGAGACTGACACTCCTCTGGCGAGTATAGGACACCCAAGGGAAGCTCACTGTGGCCAAGACACCCACCGTGACGGGATCTTCCAAAACCGTGTCCATCTCGCTGAACTTCAGGTAGATGTTTCCTCGGCAAACTCGCCACAGCAGCCTCTCAAAGGAAGCCATCCTCTCCCTGTTTATCACACCGGTCGTGAACCTGAGCAGACAGGAAAAAGAGGTTACTGAGGTACAGGGAGTGGGGCGCAGGAGAAGGGTGAGTTCTGACCCAGCTCTTGCAGGCAGCAGTCACAACGCTACTCTAGAGCAGCCCTCCTGGTGGTGCAAGGGTTAAGTCTCAGCACTATGAAGCTATCGGCAGCCACTGCAGCATGAGTTCGATCCCTGGCCAGGGAGCTGACCCACATGGCGCAACAGACCTTGCCTGTCTCCCTGCTGCTCCCCTCAGCAGTATATTTCAGTCGATCCTCTTACTCTGCTCCCCACTCTGTCTCTAGAGAATCCTTTCATGTCCGCACACCTCTGGACTGCACCCCAGTTCTTGTATGCATAAAGAAATAAAATAAAACTTAAAAAAAAAAAACCAAAGCTACTCCACATCCCAGTCCCAACTTAGCCCAAGCTCCTTCTGAGCCGCCTTAATCATCTCAATACTATCTGTTCATTTAAGTAATCAAACAGATGCCAGGCCATTCGTTATTGCATGGCAGCTAGAAGCAAATGTGTAAAGTATCCAAGGGGATTGCATGAGATGGAAAAATGCAAAAACATATATAAAAATAAACTATTAAAAAAAAAAAGATTTTCCCATCGAGAAGATAATAACAATAATGAGCAGCTATATACCAGAGATATTTTACGGGGTGGAGCGGGGAATGGGATCAAAAGCGGAGGGGGAGGGAAGTGCACTGGGCTATGGTAATGACACGTGGGTGATTTGGTGATGGGAAGCCCACGGGGATTACAACTGAGATGGGAAAAGGCACAAAATGATGCAAAAGTAAGTTATTACATATAGATAGATAGATAGATACATAATTATTGTTATTATTATTATTTTTTAAAGATTTATTTATTTGTGCGTGCAGAACTAGGGTACAGGCCAGAGACTCAGGGGTGGTGAAAGACTTCACCAGAGACAGAGTGGGGAGCAGAACAGGCAGATGGACGAAGTACACTGCTGAGGGGAGCAGCGGGCGGGTCAGGAGAGGTCTGCCACGCCATGTGGTCACCTCCGGGGCAGGCGGGAATCGAACTCATGCGGAAGCGGCTTTAGATTCTCATTGCTGTGCTTTAACCCGCTGCGCCACCAGGGAGGGCCTTATTATTATTTTTAATGTGAGAAAAAAAGATTCTCCCATCTTTCCCATGTGGGGAGCAGCACAGGCTGGGCAGAGTCAGCACTGACAAGAGGGTAACACCGCCTCTGACCCAACCAGGCAGTAGGTCCCCCAGGGTTCTGCATGGAGGCGCGTCCTCACCTGGGATACGCCTCATTCCAGTGCCGTGTGCTCTCCACACAAGCACACTGGGAGACCTAGCGCATACCCTGAGCTACAGGCCAGGGACCCAGCTACGGGTAACTTCAGGACACAGTTAGACTCACCCCAGCTTTCCAGACATGTACGCGGGCATGGCTCTCAACTCCAGGAGACCGGAAGTGTCTTCAGTAAAGAAGTCATCAGCCAAGTTGGTCTCCTTCTGAAAATCAGACGACCGCTACTTTCATTTAAATGGACCGAGGCTGGGCCTCCCTGGTGGCGCAAGGGGTTAAGTCCCAGCACTATGGGACGGACTATCGGCAGCCACTCCAGCATGAGTTCGAGGCCCGGCCAGGGAGCTGACCCACATGGCACAGAAGACCTCTCCTGTCTCCCCGCTGCTCCCCTCAGCAGTGTACTCCATTGATCTACCTGTTCTGCTCCCCACTCTGTCTCTGGTGAATCTTCTCCCTGCACCTCGGGACTATACCCCAGTTGTATGCATAAATAAATCTTTTAAAAAGAAAAAGTTAACAGTATTCAAAAAGTAGAGTCCCCTTGCCAAATCAAAAATCTTCCCAGGTCTTTCCTACCCAAACCCAAGTCTGCTCAAACTAGCTGCTTGGTTCCCTCCTCACTTCCACTCTCGTCTAGGGGGTTAAGGCACCTCCTGCACAGCTCTCTCAAGTGTTTGCCTTCAACCCTGCAGTCCTCCACCCAACCTCGCTCCCCTGTCACCAACAGATTAGCCCCAGGCACAAGCAGAGTGACTGGTTCATAGTTCAACCCAGTCAGTTTCCCTCATGGGAAGCTCAGGCTCTGGCAGGAGAGCCCTTTCCTAGTGCCCAAATAACAACCTCGAAGAAGTCCTGGGTCTTCTTCAGGAGATGTTTGAGTTCAGTCAGTTCTAGGAAGCTTTTCTTCAAAGCCTGCTGGTTCTGGTTGGCTTCCTGTAACTCTCCTTCCAGTTTTTCTAGAACAGTCTACACAGGAGAAGAAAGGAGGTCAGTGCTATGACATTTTCTGGATATTAGCCACATCAGATTATTAAATACTAGTGGGAAATATATGTGAGGGACCTGTGATTATATAAAAATAGAGCTTACAAGAATAAAGTCTGAAAACAAAAAAGTTAAGGCAATTTTTGGTGACATGGTAGACCATTGGTAGATTTTTTTTTCTGATTACTGTTTCCTCTAGTATTATTACAGGAGGTTTTTTTTTTTTTTAAGATTTATTTATTTATGCATACAAGAACTGGTGTACAGGCCAACGGTGCAGTGGGTGAGAGGATTCACCAGAGATAGAGCAGAACAGGTAGATCCAAAAAAAAACACTGCTGAGGGGAGCAGCAGGCAGGTCAGTAGAGGTCTGCTGAGCCATGTGGGTCACTCCCTGGCCAGGGATCGAACTCCTGCTGCAGTGGCTTCATAGTGCATAGTGGACATAGTGGACAGCTTCATAGTGCGGAAGCTCCAACTGCTGCACCGACAGGGAGGCCCTACATGTTAACAATTTTAAAAAGAAAAACAACTGAGCCCTCCCTGGTGGCTCAATGGGTTAAAGCACAGCACATGAAACTATCCGGAACCACTGCAGCCCGAGTTCAATCCCCGACCAAGGAGCTGACCCAAACCTCTCCTGTCTCCCCCAATGTTTCCCGTCAGCAGTATATTTCAGTAGATCCACCTGTCCTGGTCCCCTCTCTGTCTCTGGTGAATCCTTTCACCCACCCCCCCACACCTCTGGCCCTCTGGCCTGTCTATCCCAGTTCTTGTATGCATAAATAAAAAAAACTTTTTAAAAAATGAAAACTATTTTCCCAGACAAAGACTTGAGTGAGGTATATATTGTTTGCAAATTTCTTAAATGCGTAGCTTAACAGAAGACTGGCTTCTCATATCTGCTTTGAATCTGCTCTATGTTGTTCTGTGGAAGGTAGAGGTAATTCGGCCTTGCACAGGAACGGAGCTAGAAAAGAGAAGGGTCTTTTCATAGCCTTTTAAATAACTGTAGATATCTTTCTTTGATATTACACTGAAACTTAGTAAGCAGGAAGACATTCTTGTTTTTGCTCAAAAGACAATAATTATTTTCATTTCCAAATTGAACTGGCTCTGTGTCAGGGCTCTGTGTCAGATATGACCTTAAAAAGTCAATTCATCTGGGCCCTCCCTGGTGGCGCAGCGGGTTAAAGCACAGCACTGAGAAGCTAAAGCCACTTCAGCATGAGTTCGATCCCCGCCCCCGGAGGTGACCCACATGACTCAGCAGACCTCTCCTGACCTGCCTGCTGCTCCCCTCAGCAGTGTGCTTCATTGATCCGCCTGTTCTGCTCCCCACTCTGTCTCTGGTGAATCCTCTCACCCTCCACACCTCTGGCCTGTACCCCAGTTCTGTATGCATAAATAAATAAATCTTTAAAAAGTAATAATAATAATTTTCATTCAGGGCCCTCCCTGGTGGCCACATGGGCTAAAGCTCAGCACTATGAAGTTATCACCAGCCACTGCAGTTTGAGTTCGATCCCCCGGCCAGGGAGTGACCCACAGGGTGCAGCAGACCTCTCCTGTCTCCCCACTGCTATGGGGATTTCAGTAGATCTGCCTGTTCTGCCCCCTACTCTGTCTCTGGTGAATCTTCTCACCCCCACCCCATATCTACCCAATTCTTATATGCATAAATAAATAAAAATAAATCTTTTTAAAATGTTAACATGTAATGAGGTGTTGTTATTTTTAAATGAATTAATAAATGTTTTACAGGATTTTTTTTTCCTGTTGTAGACCCTATTATAGTAAATATCACTGAATAAAACCCACATCAGTAAAGCTCCTTGGGACCCTCAATCATGTTTTAGAGTATAAAGATAACAGATTGTGAAGCCTGATAACTACTAATCGCAGGATAAATGATGAAAATGTAATCCTGGTCCCAAACCCCATAGGTATTCTGGAAATGGGGCTCCTGTATCTTGGCAAGCCAGGGAAGGCTTCGGAGACCAGGTGGGGATTAAACTGAGCTGGGAGGTGTGAGTGGATGTGGGAAAAATGGAGGGGGACACCCAGCAAAGGAACCTTGGCTCTCACAGGGGCTACGTGATCAAGGGTTTGGGGTACAGACAGGAACGGGATGAGGTCAAAGAGCCAGGAAGGGATCGGCCCAAGGAGTGGGGAGAACACGACCGGTGGGGCCAGACTAAGTGAGAAGGGGCCCGGCCTACATTCTTGAGCCGGGAAGTGGCAAGATAAAGCAGCAACATGACAGAAATTAAGCTGTTGGCAGAGGCATGAGAGACAGAAATGATCAAGGAGAAAGGTGGAAAACTAGGTAGAAAGGTAGAAAACATTGAAAATAAGATCAGGGCAAAAGCTGAGTCCATAGGACAGGTGGAGGTGTTGAGGCAGGGGAGGGGGTGACTCAGGAGACTGGCATGTCACGGGGACGGAATGAAACTGGAGATGGTTCGATAGCAAACCGATTCATTCTGGTTGTTAATTTCCACTCAAAATATGTAGGTTTTAATATGACAACATGCAAAATAGTTTCAAGGGGAGTTGGCGTAGCTCTGTTAGGGTATCTAGATTTATAGTACTGATAGCTTCAAAAATTCTCAAGAATGTTCAGTTATCTTAAAAGAAAAAAAGCAGGGAGAGGTAAGTCCAGCCCAGCCTCGCCCTTAAGCGCCCTTTCTCCTCAGACCATAAAAAGCTCCAAGTCTTCCCCCGGATCTGCAGGGCTTCCTATGACCTAACGCTCCCGGTCTTTTGACTTCCTCTCTCACCATCTCACCCCTCATTTGTACCACCTGTTCTAGAAGCTTCCACAGGCATGGCCATGTTTCAAATCATGCCTGAGCATAGCAGGTTCTCAACTTTTCTAAGATGAAGTACAGAGAGGGGAAGGAGAGACAGAAGCCCCGAACCAGCTACACTGTCCTTGGCTGAAGGGAACCACTGTCTGTCACAGCTGATCTCAGGAGCCAGTCTGAAGAGAAACCTCAACCCAGCATGGACTCAATGCTACCCACAAATAATTAGAAAACATCTCATGGGACCCAGCAATTCTGCTGCTGGTTATTCTGCTTCAAAGGCAACAAACCACTGTGTTCACTACAGCGTTGCTCACAGTGGCCAAGACACAGACATAACCTACCATCCACTGACAGGTGACTGGACAACGAAGTGGTATCTAGTCACAGTGGAATATTATTAAGCTGTGAAAAAGGAAATCTACCATGGGTCACAACAAAAATCCACCCTGAGGGCATTACACCAAGAATGAGGCAGACTGTGAAAGACAATACAGATGCAGCATGTTTAAAAAAAAAACAAAAACAAAAAACTGAATTCATAGCTACAGAGGACAGAGAGACTTGTGGCAGCCAGAGGTGAGGCGTGAGGGGTGGAAAAGATGAAAGGAGTGAAGGTGGTTAAGGGTACAAACTTCAGTTATAAGACAAAAAAGCCCTGGTGTGTGACGTGGGGAGGGAGGAGGGGGGAGGGGGATGGGTGGTAGGCAGGAAGGGAGGAAGGGAGGAAGGCAGGCAGGTAGGCAAGAAGCTATTTTTTAAAAAACATTCTTTGTGGGCCGTCAGGCCAGTTCAGGGGACCATACAGACAAGACTCCATGCCTGTGAGAACCCGATGCCCAGAGGAAACCACTCCTGGAAGTGGGGTGAGCTTCCCACGTTGGAGGAGAGACCCCAAAAATCAAAACCCAAGATGGAGACTCTCCTGGGGGTGCATCACTGCAAAGTGGGCCCCCACTGCAGGCACTCCACCCCAGCAGGAGCCGTGAGAGGCCTGCAGCGACCCCCACCTCCAGGCTGCGTGACCTCCTGTGGCAACCAGAGATAAACCTACCTCCAGGCTAATCATTTCCCGTGGGAGAGGAGTCACTGGGTACTTCTCAGGTAACTGGGCCACAATCTCATTTTGCATCTCATTTTCCAGAAAACCTGAGGGAGGAAACCCACCAGAGAGCTCGGGTCACATCACTTCTCTTCCCCGATGAATGGAGGCAGCTGAGCTGTCTGAACTGCCCGGAGCCAATCTGTCTCCCTACCTGGGCCCCCTCTCCAGCCTCCTCTCCTGTCCTGCAGGTCTTTGTCCTCCCACATGCCAGCCCACAGACAGTGACAGAATTCCACTTACGGAGGATTCTCTCCAGCGACTCGCACCTTCTGACTTCATTCACAAATTTCCTTTGGAAGCTGTTCACGTTCATGTTTAACTAGTGAGGGGAAGGAACCACAAGCATACATAAGACGGTCCCTTTGATCATTTGATTATTTATTTTAATTTATTTGTGTATACAGAACTAGGGTACAGGCCAGAGGTGCTGGGGGAGAGGGGTGAGAGGATTCACCAGAAACAGAGTGGGGAGCAGAACAGGCAGATGGACTGAAACACACTGCTGAGAGGAGCAGCGGGCGGGTCAGAACAGGTCTGCCACACCCTGTGGGTCAGCTCCGTGGCCGGGGATCGATCTTCCACTGAAGTGGCTGCGACAGCTTCACAATGCTCAGCTTTGACCGTTGTGCCACCAGGGAAGGCCCCTAATTAGGTGTTAAATGGAGGATGCTATTGGAATTGCACAAGACTGGTGAGTCAGAGGAGACACACACCAGAATGTCCTCAATCCCTCAGTCCCACAAAGGCCTCAGCTCTGGTGGTCTTGCATTTCTAGACGCATCACAGTAACCCCCACTGCCTGCCATCAACACGACCACCAAGGTTTCCTTCTTTTTGTAGCAGCACTGGTTATCTAAGCAAGCCAACGGAGCCTCAATGAAAAGGCATGGAAAACCACACCATTTCATGCAAGACACTGTAGGCATCGAACAAGTTCAGTGCCTTTCTGTTGGTGACTCTCAGGTCACCCCAAAATGTTCCTAGGGACACTCTTATGCCAGGCGCTGTGCTAGGAAGTAGGGATGCACCTCTTGGCAGGAGGTTCATTTTGACTTTGAGTTTTCCATATTGGATTCCAAGAGCCTGGTGAGGATCTCAGTCATTGCTGGGACATGACACTCTGCCATCATCATACTCAAGGCCACCTACCCCTGAGATGTCGCCCCAGGGGCTGGTCGGCACAGGCCACCCAAGAGAACCTGCAGCAGGACACCCACACAGCGGCTCAAGGTTCTGCCCTTGATGATGTGTGGACATCACCGTTCAGTGTCAAGCCCTGGCGTCTGCGCACCACCCAGATCCCTCTGCTCTGTCAAACATGGTACTTACGTCTTTGAACTGAACCAACCCAAGCTCTCCAAGCTCAGCGACACAGCAGTAAGCAGCTTCCACCTGGAGAAACAGTTGTGACAAACACATCTCCTCACTTCGAAACACAGACGCCATCTTGATCGAGCCTTGGGCTACAAAGGAAAAGATGGTTGAGGTAGCAAAGGTGCAAAAGCATTTAGTGTGGATTTTTGGGTTTTTTTTTGGGGGGGGGGGCTGCATGAAAATCCAACAGGAAACAACTCCAACAAGAATCCCTCCTAATTTTAAAAATATATGAACAAAGAAAGAGAACCCTTTGTCACCTATTTGACAAGCAAAACATTTAAAACTTTGCTTAAAGACTCATTGTGAGGGTCTAGAAAGCAAGAATTTTCATACACTTAGTAGTGCACAAGGAAATAGTAGTTGAAGTATTAACTTTATTTAACTAGTTTGTCAATATCTCCCGCAGTGTATGACTTACACCCAGACCCAGATTTTCCCTCTATTTTTGCAGATAAACTTGGAGATGGATGAAGAAACAGATGTACTGGGATGCTGCTAACATTGATTCAGTACTTAGAGTAAAGGGGACTTTCAGCTGCATTAAAGACCAACGGAAAACAAACCCAAGACTCGTTCCCAATGAAAAAAAAACAAAAACCCAGGGTCACACCAGCCACAGAGCAGGGGGCAGGAAGGTCAGCAATCTGCCTTCCCCAAAGACCCTCCAGAGCCCCCCACAACTCCAAGCCAAATGGCTTCCCGCGATGGTGGGTGAAGCCGCTAGGAAGAACTACGCTCCCGAGCAGGACGCTGGCGCTGCCTTCACGCTGAAGTGCAGGAAGTAGCGAGCGGCCGCCAGATTCCAGGTTTATCCCTCTTCCTCTTATCAGCGCTTGGTCGCGATCTCCCTCGGGGTAAGTCTGAGCCCGAGGCTGGCCCAAGCTGCGCCCCCCAGCTGCTCTCCAAATACAAACGCCTCCAGCCGCCTAGGACTTGTAGGAGGTTCGACCTAGAACCTCAAGACGGTCCACCTGCACCCCACACCCCCGCAATTCTGCCACCTGAATGGCAGCTTCAGGGTCCTCTTCCCTTCGCGTCTCCCGACCATTCCGACACCCCAGTGAAGTCACCCCCTCCTGCAGGCTCCCGCACGCAGCCATCCCCGCAGAGTCTAAGCCCCCCACTAGACCGGCGGCGCTTTCCACTCACGCTCCTGCCCAGCTCCCCCGCAAAGCAGGTGCTCAAACCCCGTTTCCCCATGCAGCTATTAACTGGGGGTCAGACACCACCACCACCACCCCCTCTTGCCAAAGGCTTCTCCAGCCTCCTGGAAGCCAAACTTCTCCACCCGCCCCCTGATAAACAGAGGTTCTCCGCCGGGGCCAAGCTGCTCGCCCCCC